GTGCACCCCTGGACCTCAACCGCAAGGATCCGATCGCAGTGTGCACCGCTGGACCTCAACCGCAAGGATATGATCGCAGTGTGCACCGCTGGACCTCAACCAGATAGTTTGCCAGATAAAATGCCAGATAGAATGCCAGGTAGATTGCCAGATAGAATGCTGCAAGAAGATATGCCAGATAGTATGCCAAATAGTGTGTCAGATAGATTGCTAGATACATTTCCAGATAGAATGCCAGAAAATATGCCAGATAGAATGCCAGACAGAATGCCAGATAAAATGCCAGATAGAATGCCAGAAGATATGACAGATAGTATGCCAGACAAAATGCCAGATAGTATGCCAGACAGTATGCCAGATAGTATGTCAGATAGATTGCCAGATAGAATGGCAGATTGAATGGCAGATAGTATGCTAGATAGATTGCCAGATAGAATACAATAAAATGTATGAATGTCATGGTGGGGATCACTCGAAGTAAAGTAATTTTTTGCGTGCTGCCTTTACAACCACCCCTATGTATATGTAATTGCCTAAATTTTTTGTTGTTTACTGTCCCTTTGGTTAAATCCCCTTCTGGTGAATATCTTTTTCTTTTTTCGAGGGACAGCAAATCTAAGTGAATATGCCATTCCCAGACAGCTTGTGTGTTTCGGAATGTAATTCTTTGAGAGTCTGAACCAAACTTCCCAGGCCGTGACCCAGAAACTTCCCAGGCAGGCTTTGGACATCCAAGATATCGGTGGTGGATGTCCTTGGAACTCCAACTGGTGCGGTTGGGTCTGAACGAAGGGTTTTTTGGTGTGCTCTACTTATTAACTTGCTCATGCAGGCTTGTACACCAATTGATTCAAATATAGAATATAGATGAACATATAGGTGGACAAAGAAGAACAGGGATACTTTCTCGAACAACTAAAGGACCACCCTGACCCCAAGTAAGTACAATTATCATGCGGACCAGACATTTGAGCAATATTCCTGCAAAATTGTTTGCAGCTTGCAGGAAA